GAGTTTTGTGGGGTTTTTTAGACTGGGTCTTCCTGTGTTTGTTCATAGTATGCATGCCCCTGAACTGGTTATTTTCACCCTTTATTTTAACCACTCTGTCTCCTTATGTTTCTAATGAATCTCTTGTAGTCAGAATGCATATACATATATGTATTTTAAGAGCTGGAATAGCTCAATAATTTATTCTATTTACATTTATTGTGGCTATAACACATTTGCTTTGGTTTTATTCATCTACTTTGGAACAATATACTATTTTTTCTGGATAATTCATATAAATGCAGCTTTACCTACCTCACTTCTTCTCTCTCACCCCCTCCAGCTGATGGATGAAATGCATTTTATTAATTTTTAACAGCTAACATACACACCTGACTTAATAAGATATAAAGTGAGCTAACATCTATAGAAGTGGGTGGTTTGATTCATAGAGACGTGGGCATTATTCAGAACTGCAGCTAAGTCCTGTTTTATACATGCTGGGTTTGAGGACCGCTATCATCAATGGCTCACACAGTTTGCAAAATGCCTTTCTACATGCATGGTTCTCTGTTGTATAAATAGCAACAGGCATTAAAACAAACCTACAGGTATCAATGTTTATCTGGCCTTGGTTCTCAGAACCATAAGTCTTTCTCCTCAGCAGTCACCAGAGCCATAATGAGCACAATGCCTCCTGGGAACACCAGGATTCCTGAGTCACTTCCAAATCTGCCCATATCTGAGTCTGCAACAGTGAACTAAATTCTCCCTACAAGACCAGCTAATCTTTACCTCCTTCATCTATTCTGTTATCACCTTTGTGATTTAATAAGAGGAGAAGCTTAGCTAATTTATGCCACATATGGAAGAGAATTTAAAAAAATCTTATATTAATCTGACTCAGACCACACCCAGCTTCAACTAGTTTAATATAACCATGTGTTCTTATCTCTAAGAAGCTGGGTCACAATTTTACACTTTCCAAGTGCTTTGCGAATATTGTTTTTGTGTGGTGATCTAATAAAGCTTTCCTGAAGATCGGAGTGCAGAGCTAAGCCACTAGTTAGACACACACACACACACACACACACACACACACACACACACACACTAAGCCACTAGTTAGCCATAGAAGACAACAGTGGTGGTCACACCTTTAATCCCAGCACTCAGGAGGCAGAGGCAGATGGATCTCTGTGAGTTCAAGGCCACCCTGGGTTACATGAGAGTGAATTAATCTAAAAGAGAAACAGAGCTCACACCTTTGATCCCAGTACTTGGGATGACACACCTTTAATCTCAGCACTAGAGAGGAATATAAGAGGATCTGAGGTTTGGTGGAGACATTGCATTCTGAGGAAAAGTGGAGACAGGATTGCCCATTTTAGTCTGAAGTAGAGGTAGGAACTAGGGGCCGGCCACTTTATTTCTCTGATCTTCAGCTTGAACCCCAATATCTGTCTCTGGGTTTTTATTATTCATGCTACAGCTTTTGTTTAACACATTAGAGGATTCTGTGTGGTGGGTGGAGTGGGGATAATTGGAGGAAACATCTCCAGAGTGGGTGGCACATCTATGTTCGCATTTGTGCAGCTCCAGGGCTGTACAGTAGATGCTTGTCATTCCACATGGAAAAATGACTTGAGTTCCCAGGCTAGGATACAAACTTCCCACTGTTTCTTCTGTCTGATCCAGGGGCCACAGCTAACAGAGTTTGTCAGCTTTTAACATGGACGTTCCAATAGGTTTAGTGTTCCTCTCACATTTATGTCAATGAGAAACCAAGAAAATCATCTGGCTTTCCTAAAATCTCACCAGTGTCCTAACTCCAGGAGATGACTTGGTGGGAAATGATGAGAGGAAGAACATTGGACTTGATATTCTCCATCTCCCACACAGAAAATCCGTTCCCCAGATAGCCACTAAACAGACAGTAGTAATGAAAAGCAGGGCTTGCAAATCCACATTATTCTTAATGCCTGACTTCACTTAATTAATGGAATCATTTATGAGAGCAATTTGTATAAATCCCAAGGGACACTTGTTAAGGTTGCTGCCTTATGGTTTTGCCATGCCATATACTTCCTTTATTCATATCCTTTAGCAAACAATGGGTTGGCCAAAGAATTCTGGACTATCCACTTCTCAAAACATAAATAAATTGTAAATAAAAATAAGAGGCAGGTGTATCTCTGTGAGTTCAAGGCTATCCTGGTCTACAGAATGAGTTCCAGGACAGCCAGAGCTACCTGCCACAGCTATCAGCTTCATAGAGAAGCCTGGCTTATTTTAAGGAGTAAACATGTGGTTTTCAGCTTTCAGGTGGAATTGTAAACTAAAGGGATAGAAGAGGGAGCATATGAACGGTGCAGCCATCCTGTGACTGTCCCACTTATGAGAGGAGCAGGTCAAGAAGAGAGGTGTGGCCTTATATACTTCAGCTCTCAAGGTGTTTCAGAAGGAGGGACCCCTGGGGACCTGCTGGGTACTGGCCAAGGTCATGAGTGGATGATACCTAGACTGCATGGCATATACATACATGTAATTGAGAGCATTAGTATAATCCTTAGACGGAGCTGGTACCTCCAACCCTATCTAGCCTTCTGGTGTATCTATTCATCTTCATCTCAATTGCTTCAAGCAAGAATACAGGCAAGTGGAGCCAAATCCATGCCTAGCACTTAGAAAACAGCCTGAAAGCCACTCCCGGCTGAAGAGGGAAGGCCATCCTTTAAATGAAGCTGGCCCACATCATTGGAAATGCAACCATAAACTGCCACTGGAAGAGATCCTGAGACAAGGAAGCTCTACTCTCCTCAGACTGGCAATACCAGTGGTAGCCATTAGAGTGTGGTTATTGTTTCCTGGATAGCAAATTAAGTATACAACTTGGGAAGAATGGAAAATGCAATCAGAAACCACTGCCGGAAGAGACCCTGAAACAACAAAAAAGTTCTACTTCCCTGAAGATTGACAATTCCAGTGGTATCCATTAGACTGTGGATATTGTTTCCTGGATAGCAAATTAAGTACACAATTTAGGAAGTATTGGGGATAAAAATAAATGAAAAAAAAATATATGATCTCTTAGTTGCATTGTTAAGAAGGGGAATCTGTGAGTTAATGGAGAGACACATGAAGCTTGTGAAGTTAGTCACACTTGAAATGGCTATATTGCTTTACATCAGAGGGGATCCAGGGGGCCAGGGTGTAGTCAGTGGTACAGTATATGTTAAATTAGTATGCAGAGCTGACTAGTGGAAGGGAATGCCTTTAATCCCAGCACTGAGGAGACAGAAGTAAGCAGATCTCTGGGAGTTCAAGGCCAGCCTGGTCTACAGAGCTAGTTCCAAAACAGCCACGGCTACACAGAGAAACTCTGTCTCCAAAAACCCAAAACAACTTTCACTTGTCTTTGTAGTTACGAGAATTTTCTTCTCCTAAATGGTTGAGCAAATATATGGCTTAAAAATTTAACTTTCTTTGGTTTTGTTTTCAAATCCCCAGTGTCAATAATTGATACATTTTACACTATTATGAATGCATATATAGTGGATATATATATGTGTATAAATATGTATGTATATATGTACATATATATAATGTTAGAGGTTTATAAAATGTTATGTGATAGGCTCTGTGTTATATGTACATCTCATATTAGAAAATAATTAAGATGAATATGGTCTGGGTAAAGGACAGACAGACCTGACATCCCTGTGTGATAAGAGGGTCTTGTGGAAGGCTATGAAACTAGCAGTGGCCTGGCACAGCCTTTAAGATGTTCTGTCTCAGAAAGTGTCCCAAGTGCAGTACTTTCTCTTCAAAAATGTCCCAAGTCCCTCTTTCTGCCTTCTTCCCTTCCTCCAGCAAACTTAGAAGATTGCCATAGATATTAACCCTTTGTTGCCCCTGCTGCACCCTTGGCTCACAGTTGCCTGAATGCCCAGGCCATCTGTACCCTCTGCCCCACTCTAGCTTGGCAGTATCTAGTCAGAACAGTGTGAGCGTGGAAGGCAGAACCTCAGCCTCAGCCTCTTGGCTTCTGTGGGTTTCAGCCAGACCCTGGGTGTTATTTTAGTACAACTACAGTATTTAATTTGAGGATACATGTGGACCAGAAGGAAGAACCAAGACCTAATGTTTTTCCTCTTGATCAAATAATTAAATTTGAAATTCAAAAAAAAAATCTAGCTTGTTGTAAAACTGTATCCAATTGGGAAGAGAGAACTGCCTGGAAAATCTCTCCCAGGCAAGGGGCCATCCTTCTTCTACACCACCCACCTCAAGGCCCGTCCACTTTGGGTATCACATGAGCAGTCCTTGGCCCTGCGTTATCCTTCCCTTCCAGAATATGTCCATCATACCTTTACTGAAGAGCATTCTACAGGTGTGTTTCATTTCTTTCAGTCCTGAGAGTCCCACCACCGGTTGCCGCTGAGCCATGGCTGAAGGAGAAATCACCACCTTCTCAGCCCTGACAGAGAGATTTAATCTGCCTCCAGGAAACTACAAGAAGCCCAAACTGCTCTACTGCAGCAACGGGGGCCACTTCTTGAGGATCCTTCCAGATGGCACAGTGGATGGGACAAGGGACAGGAGTGACCAGCACAGTAAGCAGCTATTTAAATTGCACCCACACTTTTCTGTGTCTTCCGTAGTCCGGCATGGGAAGACGGCAGGGACTGGGAAAAGATACCCACTTTCCAAGGCTCTTGTAGGCAGAATGCATTCAGAAGTGAGATAACATACATGTACAAAGGGGCTGGTCTTTGGAAGACAGGGAGCTGTGGGTTACCGCTTAGCTGATTGCATCTTATTGCAAGCTTTTGGAGGCACCCTCTTTTGACCTGACATAACCTATGCTAGGGTTCAATCACTACACACACACACACACACACACACACACACACACACACACACACACACACACCTAAGTAAATAAAAATAACCTAACAGAAGATCAGGCTCTCAAGCCAGACAAGGGCCTGGTCATCCCTGGTGGAAAGAACCTAATGGTCAGGGACAGGAAATCTTGCACAAAACTATGGGCTCAATTTCAAGTTAACAGACTCTCCAGGTGATGTCTCCACTGGGCTTGATTTGAGAATCCCCATCTCCAACCATAGCTTAACACATCATAAATTATGCAGCTTTCCTGCAGAGCATTGTGCAGATGTGGCTGTGGTATGCAGAAGGGGTCAAAGGATTCTCCAGACACTAATGGAGCCAGAGTTGGGAGCCATAGAGTGAGAGGCTGATGATTCTGGGCTTCCCCAGCAGTGGCTTTCAGACAAGGTTGATAAATGGAGGTGTGGCTTAGGGAAAATAATCTACCTGACCAGTACTTCTAGTGCATGAGTGCCTGTGTGTGTGTGTGTGTGTGTGTGTGTGTGTGTGTGTGTGATATTAAGTGTCTGCTTTCTATAAGAGTCAGAGATTCTCTGAGTACCACTAGGGTATTAGATGCTGTAGGGAAGTCAAAAGCCAGATCTGCTCCCTGAGTAGAGGAGCAGCAATCTCTAGAGCCAAACATGCTGCAAGCAGAGAGACACAGGAAATCACAGGTGGAAAGAAGGCTTGGGACTGGCTTGAAAATGGGATGCAAATTGCTGATGTGCTGACTTATGCTAGATGTTGGATTATACCCCGTGTAAGCAACAAACATCACAGACTCAGTGCAATGATGGCTTCTGAGATGCTCCTTTGTTCAGTCTCAGATGCATATGTGATGGGTGTGGGCATTGTCCCTTTTTCCCCCAGAAAGGTGAGTGCTAGGGCTTGCCACTGGTGCAGGCTTATGATTTGGGGGCTTCCTACATGTTTTCCATTCTATGAAAAATAAGAACCCAGAACAAGCTAAAAATAGAAGTTCTAGAACATTAAAAATAACCAAGTTTAGGCTGAGTCTGTGTCCCAGTTGGTAGAGTGCTTGCCTAGCATAGGAGGCCTTACTAAATATAAACTGGATATGGTGTCATGCATCTATAATCTCAGAACTCGGGAATTGGAGGAAAGAATAATCCAAGGCAATGCCATCCTACAGCTACACGGTTTGAGCAGGGCTTAGAATAAAGACCCTGTCTCACAAATGAACTTAGGTTTTAGTTCATTGTACCAGGCATGGTATACAACACATGTGTCCACCCACACAACCCAGGGAAACAAGCTTTAATTTCTCCGAGTTTTAAATGTCTACTAAGTCCTATCGATTTTCTGAACTAATGGGGGATATTCCAGTCCCCAAGATCCAAACCAAAGGTGATCGTGGTGACGTTTCTTGAGGTTTTCTTGGTTCTTAAAAACCTTAAGCTTCTGGGTAACAAGAGGCTATAGTTACTGGGTTTCTGGACAAATGTCATGTGCCTTCACTCTGATCATTCTATCATTAGCAGTATAGGATGTTTCTGGGTACATAACACTGGGACAGCTTGTGGTGGGACTTAGCTACTGGGCTGTCAGAAACCCTGGGAACTCAGCATAGCTCAGTAGCAGAGCTGTAAGGAAGTATGTGCCCAAGGGATGCTGGGATATTTGCTGTGTGAACTTGGTGAGAATACTGATTACTGGTTTCTTGGGGGAGTTAAATGAAATAATATAGTAACTGTACTTGGCACGGTGCCTGCCAGGGTAACAGTTCAGCACATGCTGACCAATATTGCTGCTACCTCCCAAGTCTCCAGACTTACTGTGGTGTATGGACATACAATGAGATACTAAGGCACTTCTCTTGGCCCACAAAGGGCTGGAGCCTGAATTCAGGCTCCTCTGCCAGCAGTTCTATGGGCTTATTGTTTGCTTACTCTGGAACTAAGAACAAGAGCCAAGGGGATGGTCCTAAGGTAAATAGCCAGCAATCTGCCCTGTACCTGTTGAAACTATAATGGACAATCCACATGCCCTCTGCAGTCAGGGCCCTGGAATGCTGGTGCTCATGACCTACTCTGTTGCTTTCTAACCAGACAATTGATATTCTCTCTGTTCTCATGAAGTGCTCTGCTAAAGAG